CCCCCCCCACAGGAAACAAAACACTGAGGTAGGACACGTTCACCGCCCCCACCCTCAGTGCACCATGTTGACACGGTTGCAGGTTCACCATCACCTTGACTTCTGTTATACAGTAGATGCCAGAAACAGCCACTCTGATCACTATTGTGCTAATAATGTTATATGTGTTTGTCACCATTGTATTCATAATCACATCCGACACCTTCCTCTTCAGAAAAAGTCATTAACAGGAACGTCTTTAAGACTTAATAGGTTGGGAGAGCAGCGATCGGTCACAGCTAAAGCCTTTGAGGTAGCTGCCTCAGGGGGCCATATTTGGTTCTCAGTTTTGTTTGCCACTGCAGCCTGGTTGCACTGCGATGGCAGCCAAACGTGCCCCTCCCCTTCCAGGAAGGTGTCTCTGCACCGCCAATCCACCTCTGAAGCTGATTCACTGCCTACTTTTCGCAGTTCGGTCGTGTCGTGGCCGTCATCTGCGGACTTCTGGAGATCTTGGCGTGCTACCTGAAAGCGGACCGTGATCCGGCAGACGCGGAAGTCAGCATCAGTGGGTAAAAAAGTTAGGAGAACGTGGGTTTCTCAGTCCTGCTAACCAACCTCTAAATAAATGTAACTCCAGTGATTGCTTATAATTTCTTTTTTTTACTATTATTATCACTTGACGGCTTCATCTGTTTGTTTTATACAAAACGTCACTAGAATTACCCATTTTTATAACCCTATACAATGTCGCGATGTTCAGACTGCTTCAGTTTCTCTTGATATTCTTGAACCCTTAACTTCAATATTGCCCCTAGGTGGGGTAAGAGCTTACATTTGGGGGTTGTGCAGCCCACAGAATGCTCTTTGTGTCTTCAGCGAACCGGAGATGTGGTCTTGAATAAACATCCGACAGCTTCTACTGGCCGTTAAATGTGTGTCAGACTGGGAACAGCTCAATGGATGTGTGATAAACTTTGATCTCGCTCCATCATCCCCCCCCCCCTCCCCCGCAGCGTATTTAAATGTTTTCAGGAGCCTCTCAGCATCCTCAGCTGCTGGGCTGTAATGGGTCCAGATGTGGGGGAAAGCAGGCCAGTCCAAATGGGGTCTAAATTTACAATTTGTAATTCTTTTTATTTGCTAAGGTTCTTGGCTTCGGTACTTGGTCGGTGTCACTGATCCTCAGTCTCGTAATCAAAAGATCATGCGAAGATGGCAGATGAAAGCCAAACTTTTGGCCAGTAGGTGGCGTAGTGGTTTAAGAATAAAACTTATCTGAAAAGCTGCAGTTCAAAGTCTGAGGGGGACCTCTGTTGTTATTTTCCTGAGAAAGAAAGCAAAAATATATACAGATGTAAACACTGGTGGAGTGTGAGAAGCCATGGTTTTGTCTGTTTGGTCTGCAGGTTTGTCTGCATTATTGTACTTAGTAAGCACATCATACAATGATAAGAGAATCGGGGAGAGTCCTGAGTGTCCCTCCTCACCAAAGAGGGGTCTTCCTTGGCTGGGCTGCGATTTTGGGCCGTGTTGGTTGGCCATACATTCTTGTCAGCCCCCTCACCTGAGCTTCCTAGTGTAGAGTTACGTCTTTCCACAGTGTAATTCAACACCAGACAGGAGGGTCCTGCTATTTTCATTGTCAGCAAAAATTCCACCTAGAGGGGAGTGGGGGGCCAAGGACTGTGTTTATGGGATGGAATTCAACAAGGCAGCTAAGGAAAAAGGCTTATTTTATTGTTTCTTGACATTTGGACCTGGACTTACAAGCGATCACCCCCTCTCCCCCCCCCAACCCACGCTGGCACACACACAAATCTTTGTGGGGACCGTCCACTCATTTATACAGGCAAAACCCTAATTCCATCTGTGACAACCTTTACCCCTACCTAGGCCTAACCCTAACCATAAGGAGCCAAACAAAATACATGATTTTGGAAATTTATATCCCCACAAGGTCAAAATAACAGGTTTTTATTATATCATTCCTACAATGTAACACACACACACACACACACACACACAGTCGTGTTATCATATCTTTTTGGGGACCGCTCATTCATTTCAATTGGAAAAATACTAATGCTAACTATGACAACCTTACAAGAGTTTTTGCATTTTTTAGTTTTTTCATTGCAGTCACAGGTTTTTATAAAATAGAGTTTTCCCATATGAGGACCAGGAAATTGGTCCCCATAAGGTAAAAAACAAAAACTGGTATTCATCACGTTGTGGGGACATTTGGTCCCCACGAGGTAAGGTATACCTGGACCAAACCTGGATTTGCTTCATCCATCTTATCTTAAATAAAATAAATGTAAAGGTAAATGTAAAGTATATGTTGGATGATGTAATGGGTAGATACTACTCAGTTTGGTGATGTGATCTGGTCAGACTGGTCATTAATTGTGGGATCATGCTAATTAACATGGTTAAAGGTCCAGCAGCAGAATTCATTCCATGACCCATATAAGGTTTCTGCAAGTGCATTGGTCGTACATGTTCTATAGACCCATAACACCTTCAGAATTCATGAGTGGGCTGTTTTGCTGCTGTAACTGTGACTGGAAATAAGGTGATACACAGTGAGTGTGAAAGTGGAGATAAGGTAGTACACTTACACACCAAAGCTTATCTCGGTTCAGTCACATTAATGCGCTGATGGGTTAGGGCACCAGGAAAGGCAAATTCAGCAGGGACACCTGATTAAGAGGCAACTCTCTGGGCTGGCATGTGTTTTTAATTCAGAAGGCATGGTTTATTATAATCCATTGGTAATTACAGTCAGATTGAATTACAGCCAGAGAAAGGACAATTTCAATGGAATTTTCCCCCACTTTAGATAGATAGATAGATAGATAATTTAACATCACTACTTAAAAGAATGGCTGTGATGATGGTTCATCATACTTTGAACCAATCAGTCATACTGCCATATGTTTTTATTAATCTGGAGCGATTTTGGTTTATTCTAAGTTTCCGGCTCTGTCCTGCCGTTCACCGTGGTAAGATCCATGTTTCTTACTCTTCACACCACTGAAATCTGATTGGGTAGAAGTAACAGACTCCGGTGGAATGAAGGATAGAACACATGGACAGGCTTTGTCACAGGCTGGGTCCTCCTGCTGTCGCTCCAGCGTCCCCTGACCCGTGGTGGAGTGGGAGATCTTGGGAACCGAGAAAGAACAAAACACAGATTCATAAGGCTTCATATTGCTCACAGTACGGCAGGATCACACATTCGATTCTTTTTTGTTTGCCGTTCCTCAGCAGTGAGCCCTTGTATGTAACGGTGACCCACGTCCCCACACACAGGGAAAAACCGCCCCATGGAGAGCATGCGCAGATGGAGGACCACGCCCGCGCCCGTGTGATCGTCAGAATGGGCCTTTGCTGTATGTAGTGCGATTTGTTGACGACTGCAGACGTGCAGAGACAGCACCAGCGTGCCTGTCCCTAAGCGAGATCAAACCTGTTGCCACTCCTCTTGGTCCTGCCCTCCAATCCACCCCTCCCCCGAAGGTGCCTCCTGGCCCTGTCAGTGGCCCCCACCCTGCTAGACAAGTATAGACTGGAAGCACGAGGGTAACCCCCCCCCACCCCCAGGCCCTCACCCCCCCCACCCCCCCCACAAAATCTCAAGTGATTCCCTTCCCTGTTGGGTCTTTGTCCACCTGAAATGCACCGCCCATTAAAAAAAACAGGTGCGTTTATTAGTATTGTTTACTGCTATAAAAAATTTAATATTTCCCAATCGTTTTCAGAAATTTCAATAGTGACACTGTACTGTTTGTTCGTTTGTGGGTGGAGACTGCCCTGCAGTTTTGTCTGCTGCCATCACTTGGAATTTGAACACTGATTGTTTGAACATTTTCCCTTCAAACGGCTGGTCAAATTAATACTAATACATGAACTACATATATAAGCTTCTCACTTACATGAGGTAAAAAAATGAAATAGCTAATTATATTGTAAAATCTGGTAAAATTGCGGCCCTTTAAACATGATTTTGAGCTGGGTTCGTCTTCATTCGTCAGCTGCACTTACCTTATGTTTGACTACTCACCGTTTTGTTTGCCGTGGAGTTGCAGCAGCCCAGTAAAATCACTAAAAGTCCTTAAATGTGGATCACTCAAAACTCTGCTGTGAGCCTGCTACACAGTGAGAAAAACACACACAAGAAAAAAACAACAAAACAAAAAATACCT